TTTAGAAGCTTTAACTTACTATTTTTAATGGTATTTGAAAGATATTTCTAAAAAAATTATTATACCTAAAAAAAATATGATCTAATTTTAATGATTTTACGGCTGGTGGTTTTACAAACAAGTGAAACTTTCTTAATTAAAACCATAGAAAATCAAAAATTTAATTGCACTTCTTTATCATGTACCCCCTAGCTAATTATAAAAATATCAGTCAATTACTTGGACATTTTGACCGCGTTATTTACTGTTGTGTTATCGTACAATTTTCATAAGTAAAATTATTTCTTTATGTACAGTAAACAAAGTTTTTGGAGAAAATTTACACAGCGAATAGTGTATCTCCAATGAAAAAAATCTATTTACAAAGTTTATTTCTCTTATCCTTTGATATCACGTAAGTGTCTCGATCAAAAAGTAAATGATAAGTTTCGGAGCTAGCTAATCACTTTAAACTATTTTTTAAGTCTTTTTTTTACTTTGGAAAATCCTTTCACAAGTGAAAGTTCGGCAACGAACCATAGCTCGTGGGTACTAATTTCTTCGGGTGTCCCTCGACGATTTTGCCCGAATTCGACGTTTTAACATCGACGACTTCGTTAATTCGCTCCCGCTTGAACAAAGAAACAAAAAACTCGATTAAGAAGCCATCTTTTTTCTCTAAGAACTTTGACTTCGCGAATTCGAGAAAAGAAAGATCGGGGAGAGATAATGAGAGCCACATGGTTAGGGATTTTTGTCTCAACCTTTCTTACCTTTCCCGAATCGTAACTTCAATTTTGTTTACCTTTAGAGAAGTTGAATGAACAGATAAAGTTTAATAAGAAAAAAAAAGGAAGTACCATGAGAATAAAATCCATTATCAAGTGAGTACAGTTTTCACGTGAATTGGTATTTATTCTTTTATCGTGATGATGACATCGGAATTGTAGTATTTATTCTTGCAAGAAGTACTTTAATATATCCACAATTGAATTATGCATGAATATCATATTTATGTAAGTGTACTACTCATTTGGTAAAGGATTTTATGAATGATGAATTTTAGTGAACATCAATAAACAATACAGTAACGTGCAAAAGGAGTAATTTTTACAAAGGAAAACAAGTCGAAGAGACTTTCTACGTTTTTGACGAGCAAAAGTAAAATAAAAGTAAAAGTAAGTGTAGGTATGCACAAACAACGTGAGATACTTGTATAACATGTAGAATCTACGGCAGTGTAGTTGAAGATTTCAAGAAAACGATATCTTAAAATCTTGAAGAAAATCAATTTTTTTGTTCCAAATAAACCTTGTGTAAAACTCAAATACCACTTACAGAGAGAAATAAACTAGCAGGCAACTATTATTAAGTAAATGGCGTTATAGACAGTTTTATTTTGTTTCTTAATATTTATTAATTTAATCATTTTTTAGTCAAGTTATTCTAAAACTCGACTTACCTTTTTTCTAAAGTTATCTATAAAGTAATGTAAACAAATTATAATTTGTAATTTTTTTTTTTTTTTTTTTTTTTTTTTTTTTTTTTTTTTTTTTTTT